AATTACTGTATTTATTGTATATCTAATCAAATAAATGCAGCCTTGGTATGTGCATATATGAGACTTCTTTTAAAACATTAAAAATCTTACTGAGCCCAAACTATTGAATGGTAGTGTGCATGCATAAACAGTATGAATATCCTTTTTCATTTCACTCATTCTCAACCTGTGACCCTTTTCAGTACATCCTAATTTTCTTCATTGTCCATTTTTGTCTGTCTCCCCACCTCCTTCCACCTTCCTCAAGAGGACAAACATCCCCCTTCATCCACACACCACACCGGATGAGCTCGCGGCGTGTCCTTATATGTGCAAATCTCTCAGTTTCAGCAGGAAGAGGCAGTTTATTAAAAATACAGTCATTGTTTCTGCAGCTCAAATAATCAATATATTATGTTGTATTTTGAGATTTTAAAAGTCAGTGGGGTTCAACAAACACTGCACCCTATTTTGAACCTAAAATATCTTTATTTGTGTTCCACATAATAAAGATGTAAAAAAAATATTTTCATGATTTGTAATCACAACATTTTTTCTTTTGTCAAGTCAACTTAGATCATTTATGTAGTTCAAATAACATAATATTTTGAGTTTCTAATGATTAAATAAATCTCCTTCATTGTATTAACTCAATTTTTCCATTTCAATGAACTTAAAATTTTAAGGCAACCAGGTTACTTATTTTTTAAGTTAAACCAACAATATTTTTTCACAGTGCATTAAACATCCTTTTTAAACAATAATCTTCAGTGTATCGGTAACACTTTGCGATAAGCTCTAATTTGTTCAAATTACTAAAAAAATGTTTGTGTTAGTTCACATGTGCATTAACTAAGGTTAACAGCAACTTCTGATCGTATTAAATGTTGTCATTAAGATAAGTATGCTGATGCAACCTTTAGTATCAATACGTTTTTTGAACATATGTTTTTGAATTGTTTTAACTCATCAAAATGAGTTAAGGAACTTCAAGTTTTATAAGCTCAAATGCTCGCCTTGCTCTCATTCAACAAACGAAATGACTTGAAAAAAGATTCGTTCATTTTGATGAACAAGTTCGAACAGGAGAGTCACGAACGCGCATCACAGAACAGAGCAAGGCGAGCATTTGAGCTTATAAAACTTTAACTTTTTTATTTATTTTTTTTAAATGACCGATCATTTCGCTTGATAAGACCCTTATTCATCGTCTGGTGTCGTTTAAAGCCCTTTGAAGCTGCACTAAAACTCTCATTTGGACCTTGAACCGTTTGGTTCCCACTGAAGTCCATTATATGGAGAAAATCCTGAAATGTTTTCATCAAAAACCTTAATTTCTTTTCCACTGAAGAAAGAAAGACATGGACATCTTGGATGACATGGGGGTGAGTAAATTATCAGCATTTTTTTTTTTTTAAAGTGAACTACTTTAAGTTGAAATGACTTAAACATCCAAGTTGATAGTACTTCCAAATTTAAGGAAGCAATGAACAAATGAAACCTTCTTGTAAAGTGCAGTGAATCTTTGACAGAACAACATTATTCCACCTTTTCATTCCTTGATTCATGCTTATTAGAAAGACTAAACAGTGACTCAACTGTATCGGCGGCGGCTCCATAAACTCATCAGAGAGTCACATCAGCTCTGAGAATCACAATAGAGCGGTTCAGCCCACTCGAGCCGTGCTGCCGGACACTAGCCGAGGCACGCAGCTCTGATGAGGATCTCATCTATATAACGCTCCGACAGACTGGATGGTTTCCGTTAATTGGCCGAGCTCGTTTAGTAATGGTCTCACTTTTCCTCGCCGCCCCCTCTCTTCCGTTGCTCGCACAATGCCTGGAAGTCGCCTAGACCCACATGGGTTTTTTTTTTCTCTTATGTTGTTTTCTCAATCTCTCTTTTTCCCCTCACACCAAAGACACAATTGATCCAGTCAACATCAAAACAAATAGGAGCACAAGGACACACACACGCACTCAACACCCTCGTCCAAAAGATAGCCTACTTCCGACTCGCATTAACACACACAGTGCATGTTTGAACCTGGTTTGAACACAAACAGACGAATTCACTAATTACATAATGACTTCTCAAACCTTAATTAACACTTATGCTTAGGGATGCACGATATATCGGCCAGCATATCGGTATCGGCCGATATATGTTCATTTTTAATGTTATCGTTATCGGCCTGGTAAGAAAATGTGGCCGATATATTAAAGCCGATAAATAATGTATTATTCCCTTCAGCTGAGACACTTGTTGAGAACTGTTTATGTTTTTGAAATTCTTGAAATATGATTGAAATCTCTTCAAAAAAATTTAAATCTGGTTCGGACAACATGTGCAACGCAAATCTGTCATATCGGCTGAGAACATCATTATAATTGTGCGCTTGGGACATGGATTTAATTGTGAGACTTTTGTTTTTGTAATCATGCTCTCAAAATTAGATAAAAATTTGGATTTAAGTTTATCGGCTTTCAAATATAAAGAATTATCGGTTATCGGTATTGGCCAAAATTTTCATATCGGTGCATCCCTACTTATGCTGTTTTATCACGACTGTCATGGCTTGACGTAAAAGAGAACTATCAACGCATTCTCATCCTAGGGCATCATATAGTGACACTTTTGACAATTCACATACATACAACGTACATGGCACCCTTTAGCGTCAATATAACAGGTTTAGGTCTGGGGTAGTATTAGGGTTAGACCACTAGGAGGCGCCTTCTGCCCCATATATATCTGCGTCTCATATTGACGCTAGAGGGTGCCATGTGCGTTGGATGTATGCATTGTCAAAAACATCAGTATATGACGCCTTGGGATGAGAACGGGCTGAACTATCCATGTCACTTTAAAATATTTAATTAATTTGCATGTCTAGATCAAAGTGCCTTTAAGGCAAGTAATGTCACGCTGTTTTAATTGGGCAGCCATTAAATTCTCCAAAGCTGTTCACCAAGTATATGATTACATTTCATATTTGAAATCACCAATGAAATCTGAGAACTGTCTCATGTATTTTTAACTTCTAAATGCTCAAATCAAGACGTTATGTTATGTAGCCCCGCCCCATTTTTAGCGCTTGTCCTGTGCTGTCTGAAGGTAAGATCTTACAGATTCATGAATGAATGAAATTCACTTTAAAATCTTCCCGGTCTATTGACATTTATGACATCCGCTTCAAACATTACAAAGCTCATGCTAACTTTTGTTACTCTAACGAAAGTTTCGTTATTCCTCTATAATGTGCACAGAGATGGCAAAGGCTCTAAATGTAATGGTGCGTTCAAGTCATGCCAGAAAGATCGTATTTACGAGTTAAATGCACATGAAGGCCACCACTATGTCGTTTAATACGAGTGGAAAGCTTGGGGTTTTCTTTAAGCCCTGATGTTTATGAGTTGGGGCAGTGAGATACATAATGGAATACCACAATACTTACAGGTATTTAACAGTGATATGTACGCTCAAGCTTTTTTATTTACAACGAAGCAAGCTAATTGCCTGCACAAAATAAGATAGCGTTGTAATATGTAACAAAAAGTTTACAACGGCTTCATGGATTACTTAAAAACATAAAAAAGCAAAACACACCCGATGGACATTCTTTGTTTTTAATTTTCTAGACGTATAGAGTTCAAAAACTTGCTGTATTTTTGTGTAATTCATTTAGAGAAGTTACACCGCCATCTTTCTCAGACGAAATCTTGAACGCACCTGACGTTGTTCCCACCAAATACAAACTTCCTAGGAGGACTTGAACGCACCATAAAAACTGTGAAAATTAGCATGCACCTTCATATTTTGCAATGACAATCAAGTAATCATCGCCTGATGGATGATAAAAGAGTAAACAATGAACTCAAGAAACCTGAAGCATATTTAAGGAGGAACATTTCATACAGACTTAATTGTCTATGTCTTTGTGGCCATTAATACGTTTTCCCTCCAAAATCTCCATAAAGCGTGTAGTGAGTGAAGAAGGTGAGGTAACTTTCCGCTTGTTTTTAAGCTATTGGAGACCTACATGAACCCCCATATCCCCCGTCTCATTCTCCTGCCTGCTTTATTGACGGATGTCCTGCGCAGGCGTTTCATCCCAGTCTGTGTGTGTGTGTGTGTGTGTGTGTGTGTGTGTCTCACAGGAAGCCTTAAGGGGGTGTTCCATAGTTCCTGCACATCTGCGGGCTGCATTTCTCTAGGTGTCCCTTGTTTTTCGGTCGTGAGAGAGGGATATCACCCATATCACTTTTTTTTTTTAAACTCTCCTATTTCCTTCCGCCCATTGCCCATAACAAGCTTCCCAAAGCACACACACACACTCTCCTGTCACAGGAAGCCAGACAGAGGTTTCCGGCAACCCTTGAGAGAGGCAGGTGAGGCCTAATGTGGCCGTACTTGCTGACCTGGCTGCATTCGCTGAGTTGCTTATATTTGATCTGAACAAAGGTTGTGCTCTTTGTTTAGGCCATGTTTACTGTGCAACCTGGTTCACTCAGTCTACACAAAATTACTGATAGGAAGTTAACTTCCAGACTCATTTGAGATGGCCTACTTAGATTGGGAAAAAATGTGAAATTAAAGCGGTATATGAAGTATATGGCCACCCATACTCTGAATGTGTCCTCTGCTTTTAAAGGGTGATGAACTGAGAAATCAATTTTCCTTGAGCTTTTGACATCTAAGAGGTCATCATATTATAAGAATATCCTGTAAGTTTCAGAACTGAAAACGTCCTTGTTAGTCCAATAAAAGCTTTTATTGACACCAGCCTCTGAAAACGACTCGTTTTAAAAATACACAATGGCTACCTTGTGATGACAAACCGGATCGAGCTACCGAGCAATACAGAATATTGTGCAGGTGCCTGGTTGTGGAAGAAGACAGTCGCTGCATAAGCTTCATAGCCTATTACTTATTCATTTTGATGTTTTTGAATGCAAAAACCAAGCGAACGTCATAAATTGACCTCAGACAACAATATAATAAAATTTAAAAAGCCAGTTCATGACCCCTTTAATACACATAGGAGCAGTGAGAAGTGAACACACACAAACAGACTGCAACATGGACACACACACCAGACTGATCTCATGAAACGGCGTATATATGACACGCCAATTCGTATTTCCATTTTTGCCGTGCTATCAACACGCATAATCGCTTTTCAGCGTGTTTATGAACGCCGTTTACTTAACGTTACACTACTGTATAAATATATGACCTACCCCAACCCCGTCCCTAAACCTAACCGTCACTGGGGTTAATAGCATTTATGAGTCGTCCCCTACCATCCTAGGAAAAAAATAACGCTCCCCAGATGTAGATCTACATTTTGCTTCGTTTCGAACAGACATTTAACGGCGTAGACATACATGCATACACGTGGATAGCTTAAAATGCGTATAGATAACACGCCACTTGTCTTGACAGTGCGGTGTACGTTTACGCCGCAAAAGTCATGATGTCATGTTGCACACACAGAGCAGTGGGCAGCCATTGTGCTGTGGTGCCTGGGGAGCGATTGGGGGTTAGGTGTCTTGCTCAAGGGCACCTCAGTCGGTTCCTGTTGGTATTGAGAATCGAAAATCGCAACTTTCGAGTTAAAACCCAGACAGGAACATAGTGTCTGCCCAGATCCCGGCCATACCTTTTGGATTCCAGACGAAACAGATGTGGGCCGGATCTGGCCCGACACTATGTTGTCTAATTCTTAACCACTTGACCACTTAAAAAGTCAGTTGATTTTGGTTCATTCTGCAATTATACACTACGGACGTCGACAACGGACGTCGTACTACACAGTGAAAAGCGTCGGACGCGGGTAGAACAAAAATGGCGGAGAGATTAAAGTTTGATTCTGTCAGTTCTGTATGATCTCTCTGATGAGGGTTATGCTGCGTGAGGAAAGTTGCTCAGGACGTTGACATGTCAGGTCGGCTAAAAAATGTGATATAGTGGTCAATAGTTCAATGTCTACCTTCAATTTAATCGTATTAACTGCCCTTATAAATGTTAGAAAGTCATGAAAATAAAAAATGACATCACAACTTATCGTTATAAAATCAATATTTATTTTATTAAAAGTTAAGAATTCGGGTTTGTTTATCAGTACCATAGCAACGGTCAACTTCCGCTGGAATTGTCGGATATAGGAACCGTCCGTAGCTTTTCACAAGAGTTCAAATTTTTGAACGCATCCGGATGACCAACGGACACGATTTTCTTCGCACCGCACTCGGTCGGACCCGTTTCGGACCCATTCGCATGCGGTCTGCGAATCTGCGAAAAAAGAATGACTTCCGGTCGTTTCGCAGCCGCATTTGCGAATCTGCGAAAAATGAATGACTTCCGGTCGTTTCGCAGCCGCATCGGAGCTGA